GCACCCAAAACAATCTGCACTCATCGGGAAAAAACGTAGCCACAGTGTTAAACTTTAGAAGATCAACATAAAACCAAACCTAAACAAAAACACACTCCCATATTTGTTGTGGAGATAAAAAGGAGGTGAGATCACGGATGTGGAGATCCGTGGAGCAGAAACAGGCTGCAACACGCAGCTCTGTGACTGAAGATGAGTCACAGCATGATAAACCTCACTGCTGAACCACAGCCAGATTTGAACAGTTTGGATGCTCCCAGCTGTTGGACTGAAACTTGCTTAGTGACAGAAACTTGCAAAGTGAAAACAGAAGTTATTAAATCCGCTCTGTTCTGTTTTCTCTCCATGTTACTGCAGTGACACCGAGTAGACATGAGATCTTCATTTACACAGAAATGCGACAGAGCTCATTATAGAGTGCCACCCTGTTTACTGTATGTGTGCTGAAGTATACTGATACACAAACAGCATGAAAAACAACTTTGCATAAGATATGAAACTCAAATATTTGTCTCTGTATGTTGCTTCTGTTTCCAGCAGGTGAGTGTCGATGAAATACCTCATCATGGCCTAAAGGTGAGTGCTTAGTCAATCCTGTTCAGACAATAGGATTGATCCCTCCGTGACACTGTAAACACGTCTGTTACTTTGTTTTGGTTCTAACAAGTGAAACTGTCTGACATGAAGTTGAGAACATTATTGTAGTTTCCCTACAATTTGCTCAGACTTGATGAAATGTTTTGATCTGAAAGTTTACTCATCTTGCCTGTGATATTATCTTAGCCGATGGCTATTTTGACTAATGTTACAGTAATAAGTTACAGTAATAATCTAAATTGCCATCTCCCTCACTATATCTCTCTGGTGCAAGAGAAGTAACATTGAAAAAGCAAGACGATGGCTGAAAGCTGCAATAACAACTGTGTGTGCTGCTAAACTACAGCTGCACACGCAGACATACACAGAATATGATAGTGTGCACGGCCCAGATCTGGAATACTACGTCAAGCTTTAATCAGGGGGAAAGACGGGGGGAGGCAAATGGTTGGAATCGTTCTGGACTGCCATGATTACGGAACAAGCGTGAGACCTCGTGGCGCAACGGTAGCGCGTCTGACTCCAGATCAGAAGGTTGCGTGTTCAAATCACGTCGGGGTCAGTCTATTTTAAGGCCGAGAAAACAACACACACTCTACGTGAACTCCATTGAACTGCTGCCATCAGCTGAGTGAAGCTTTATAATGTGTGAATTACAACAGTGAGTGTTAAATGATGCTGAACAAGTCAAATTTGGACGTCGGGGCTTACACACACTTGGATGACACCACACGAGCAGCATGGAGGTATTTTATGTTTTTCTTCTGTTGTTTTTTAATGTGTGTAGAAGGCGTCCCAAGTTATTTCAGTTGTATTGGATTTGGCTGCAACGCTGTTTACCCCTGAAACTCCAAAAGTGTTTTGTGGACTCAAACCCCTCCATCGGCACAGTGGTCAGTAGATAATGAGTGAATTAAAAAGATGAATCGGTGAATTATTCCCTTAAGAATGAGAATTTTACTTCCTGTGTGTGTCCCTTGTTTCATGGAAATTACACAAGGTCTCCTCCTTCAAGCCATCACTCAACGTTTTGGCCGTTTTGAGTGCACTATGCAGGAACCAATAGTACACAGCTTGTTGCCATATTTGTCAGTATATGTAAACTCAGTAACGGAAACAAAACAGCATATGTGAGTGTATGCAAAATGAGACATATGCAGAAGAGTTAGTCTCCCATGTGGGGATGAAACTGATAACGTGGATCAACTGCACTCACATGTACAGCAAAATGAAAACTAGATTCTGTGTGGTTGACAACACAAGAAACCAGGCCGGAAAGTGAAAAAAAACAAATTAAAAAACAAAAAATAGCCACATTCAGGTAAGAAGTAAATCATATTATGTCTTATCTATGAGATTTCCAAAAAACTAAAATACCAGCATGAGGTCAAGCACAGGCCTGAAAGTTAGTGGGAACTGGTGTGACGATTCTGAAACTGTGATCGAAACCATGATATAAAGATATGAACCGACCCCTAGTAGAGAATCCTGCACTCCCACTGTGGAAGCACTATTTCCATAACAATAAAAGCCTTGTTGTGCTTTATGGGTTCAAATGATCAGGTCTGATTATGCTGAGTGGAAGCCGGTGAGTCCGTTGGTAGATTAGATAGTAAAACATGGATGGAGGCAGTAACTGATACAAAGAACTGGACAGACTGGATTTTCCACTACAGCTATATAAACATAAAAAAGGCAAACACCCACAGTCTGAGACAAATACAGGCACAGACAGATGGCTGCTGCTGCTGCTGCTGCTGCTGCTGCACACAGTGAACTGTTCCAGCCCACATTCAGCTGAGCTGCCATTCACTGCAACTGTGAGAAGTTTTACTTCAGTAGGTCTGTCTTGTGACCAGAGGATTTCTGTTTCTGTTTCACTGACTTGGATTGTTGAGGGCTTGTTAGGTATAGAGCTTAAAGAGCAGTAGAATAAGCTTTTGAAAGTCACGCTACAACTACACTGACAGGGTGTATAGAGGATAAACATAAATCAACTGTTATTGGGTCTAACAATGAGGTTACATGTTATCAGAGCAATGGAATTAAATAGTGAGAAGAAACGTAATGAGGCCAGACAACCACAAGGGGGAGCAGGTATTCACAGCATCAGATGAGATATATGACTAATGCCTCCATGTATGTGTCAGATAACGTTTTTCATTTAGATTCTTCCCTCCTTCTTTTTAATTTGTTCCTTCCTTCCTCCCTATTCCTTCCTATCCACTTCCTTCCTGCCTGTCTCTCTTTACTCATAACGATCACAGAAGTTAGACGATGGCAGCAGATGAGAACAAATAGTTTAAATGAGATGAGAGAAATAGTGTTTCAGACATCAGGTGCAAAACAGCTGCTCTCAACACTGATCCCACCTGGTGCGTAACCATGGCACCTACCATACAGGCATCATAAGGTGTGTGGATGCGCATGCACTCAAACAAAGCCAGAGAGCGTCTTCAATTTTCAGCCGTGCAGACCAACAGCTCGAATCGACACACAGCTCAGCGAACTGCTCCAAATCTCCGAGCTGTGCTGTTCAGTGTGAAAACACAGCCAGGATATGTTTTCAGATTTCACGAGATCACAGCAGCACGCCTGAGACGTAGGGAATCAAAGAGGGCACTTTCATTTCAAATCTGAACTTTTCATCACCACTCACAGGAATACATTTAGACGATCACGTTGACTTTAAGTAGAAGCTGTCTGTTAAAATCTATCTATCTATCGACATGATTTTGCTCTTTAAGCCAAACGACCTAAAGATCATTATATTTATGTCCCTACATTTTAAAGCTGTGCTCAGACTTGCTCTGGCAGTTTTCACAGCTCAATTGTGATATTATCTTGGCCCATTGTTATTTTGACTGATATATCAGGAATGAGGTACAATGAAATCTACTAAGCTCCCTGCTTATCTCACTGCTACAAGGAAAGTCACTTCAAAAAAGCAAGACAATGACGAGGTGTTTGCCTGTAAGTTCAGTATGCTGCTGAACTGCAGCTGCACAGGCCTGAACTGTGCATACCTGCAATATGTGTGAATCAGAGGGAACGACAGGAAGGTTCTGCTCTGGAACCCATGTGATGTCAGCTGAGGTCAGAGAACTGGCACAGGTGTGAGACCTCGTGGCGCAACGGTAGCGCGTCTGACTCCAGATCAGAAGGTTGCGTGTTCAAATCACGTCGGGGTCAGTATCTTTTGATGCAGAGCGGACAACACGCAACCCTGATGAAATCCATTGAACCTGCGCTGTCAGTTGTATGAAGTAGTGTGTGTTGACACATCCACCATGGCCGGTGCACACTCGCAAATAGTCACCTGGATTGTCTTTGTGCTTGTTCAACTTTTTTCTTTTAGATTTGTGGATTTTTTTTAAATCATTTCGAGTGTTTTCATTCACCGTGGAGTTAATTGGAGCAAACAGCCCACCGTCACCCACCATTCACTTCATTCTGCTGGTTGAAAAGAATCATTTAAACCATTTCCCACTCACACAGACACAAAGAGGGGGTGCAGCTCTTTAACTGGCCCAACATTAAAGCTGCAGAGCGAGTGACTCAGGTGTAGTCAACACTGTTCCCATGGGAAGGATGCAGTGGGACTGTGGGTAATCATTTCCAGCTGCACTAGTGGGTGGGGGTGGGCTGTGTGGCATCACGCTGCCTCTGAAGAGATTTTGCCCACACACTCTTGTACTCGCACATTTTTAAACACACGCACACACACATCAAAGTGAACGCAGCAGACAACACTGTTCCATTCTACCTTCCACAGATATGAAAGCTGTGGAGAGGAGCCAACAGGATGCAGTGATTAAACAGAGAACATGGTGGTGTGCAGTAGCAGCTCACTGTTTGGTAATGTCGTAGTAATCACGAGACATTAAAAGCAGGCAGGTGTAATCATGAGCACATGCCAGTGAAGCTCTCTGTAGTGCTGCCAGAGTTTTACGCACAAAGACTCAGAGGTCAAATATTAGAGCCATACTCGCTCTGGGGGTCGATGCTGATATTAGGAAGTAAAAAACCTATATACCTATATATTTATACATACCTGAGTGACAAAGAAATGTAATTGATTTGGGTTTGGTATTTTCGTTTTCAACCACAAACAAATAATTAATAACTATTAATTAAAAAGAAAACAGAAATACAACCAAATATATGAAATTTAAAATTGATAAAATGAACACCAGTATGTCTGTGAAAGGCTTCTATCAGCTGATATCATGGCAAACTGATAAATCAGTCAGTATCAGATACCATCAAAGGTGTTTTTTCACAAAGAAAAGGTGAATGGAAATAGCCTGGAGAACAAACAAACAAATACATTAAATATGCAATATACCACTTTTTTGGAGTTTCTCTCAATTTTACAACCTCACACACAAACGTTGACTCACCCTGTCTTTGTCGTCCACTACGTCACACAACAAATCATCCAGGTCCAAAATGCCTCCATCTCCATATTCCAACCTGTGGACCTGCACCCAGTAGCTGACGTCCTGGAAGAAAAAAAACAGAGAGAGGTTATTACACCAGTCATCAGATCATGTTTATTTGCACCATATAGCCTTGCAGCCTTATATAAGTAAAACCATACAACATGTAAGCGTTGCCAGGCCAAAGGAATGAGCAGCTTGTGTCTCCTTAAGAATCAGCTGATCTGATCACAATGTGCTCCATGTAATGATCCAGTCAGCTGGCACACAGAGGCGCTGACATGGCTCTGGATTTACATCATGGTGGCAGTTATGAAATATTTTAATCCCCTGCTGGACGGCCTGCAAAATATGGCATATGGTTCAAACCTTTGACCACGAGGGAGCAGAAGAGGGAGGAGACGTGTCCAATCAAATTCTTTCCCTGGCAAAGTCAAAAGTCTTTGTAGGGAAATATATGTTGGGAGGGAAACTACCAGACGTTCAAAGCAGCTTTTGGACATTTTGTAAATTCCTGTTAAAACAGTCAAAGATTCCATGGATGTTTGTTAACCAATAAAAAGTATCCATTTGTCCTCTTCCATGGGCTTTAGTACTTTAGGCTTTAGTCAGACAGCAGGGTAAAGAGCACCCACTCAGCTCAGCGACTGTCCTTCCCCATTCGCCATGTTAGGGAAGAATCTCCTCTCTTTTGTCTCTAGTTTGTTCTCACTCCATTTCCCTGTCTCCATCTCTTTTCCTCCAAACTGAGCTGTCTTCGGCTCTGTGGTCAAATGCCTTCATGCACGGCTCTGTTGTACTGAGCTCCATTGTGGTTCACCAGGCAAAATGGTCCAACTAATGAGGGGAATGACTGTGTGGTATTTTCCTTCCTTCTGAGGTTAGTCAGAGGGAAAAGATGGCAAGTTTATCAGGGAGTGTTCAGAAGCGAGGCAAGGACAACTGAGAGAAACTGTGATATTAGCGGCTGTATTATTAGGGAATGAGAGAACAATGCAGCATTTTGGTCTTGATGGAACGATAAAGAGAGTTGTGAGGGTTTCTGATTGGGAAGCAAAGCTTGAAAACATTCCAACCTGAGAGGAAAATGGTTTTTTTTGCCACATCTATACTAAAACACCACTATAACACACACATAAACCCCAGGAGAAGACAGAGCATAAATGTACCATCTCTGGAAGTCATTACAAACCACAAACTGACCCACTGTATCAAACGGGGGGGGGGGATCTTTAAATTTTCAAACTGAGAGTTTGGCATCTTCAACCAGACTTGTTCCTCAGATGGATTACAAGAAACAAAACATGATTCTGAGAGAAGCTCAGCCGCGAAAACCTAATCCCAGATACACTCTTGCGATGGAAGGAAAGTATTTGATTTTGACAAATACTGTTTAGATTTGACTTAAGTCAAAATGATGTAGAGGGCTTATGTTAATGTCTCCCAAAGACCAAAAGCAACACTGCAGAATTCCCAGTTTAAATACTCATCATTATGGGAGTATTAGCAGAGAATTCCTCACTGACGGGATGAAGCTTTGGTTTTTTGTGATCATCGCTTAATACTTTGTTGTAAATAAGTAAGACTTCCTGGGAAGATACATCTGGTCATGTTAGCTACTCAGCTCACAAAAATCCCAATGGTCAAATACCTTATTTTGCCTCCTTCTTAGTATCATTCATCTTTGTCCTGTGCGACATATAACTCAAAACATCGTAATAAGTGTAGCTTAGCTTTCTGCAGCGATTCTCTTGAACTGTGTCATTATTGTTTCATAGATCTTGAAAGGTCATGCATGATTAATATCTGGTAGAGGCTTGGAAACACTCAAGAGCTTGGCAAAGCAACCAAAAGTGGTCACTGTTGACAGAACGTTTCATCCCATCTATCATATCTGGCACTTTCTGTATGGGCTTAATGAAATGTTGAACACAGACCAGTAGAAATGGACTAAAGAGAAACAGGGGGAGCGGGACGTTCCAACAAAGAGTGCATTGTGACAGAGTCCTTTACATTACTGTACTATACAATACATTACTGTACTGTGAGAGTGGAAGGGGAGGACAGCAGTTGATGTAGTGTCGACACACTCAGCTGTCAGCCTCGGTTCAGTTTCTTAAAAAATCACCTCTTCCACTTTATTTAACATGTTACACAAGACTCTCGCACTTCTATCACCTCTGACTTTTCGTTCACTCTGTAACTGCATTTCTCATAAACTACAGATTTTCATTTTATCTGTACACGGTTTCAAACGCTTTGACCAAATCTGAAATCACCTCCATGCAGCATGTCTACATGTCTGTTCAAGCACAATTAAGTCGGATACTTAGACTAGTTTGATTAGACAAAACTTTCCCTTAAAGCTAATGTATGCTCAATGTTAGATACATATTATGAAACTGAGCCTTCCGCCGTTATGAGGGATTCATTCCATCTGTTTTCATCAACTTTTCTGAAAGATTACAGATACCGACGAAACAGACAAAACGGAGCACCACTGGAAATCATGGGGGGGAGGGGGGGGGGGAGTAGCCAATAGTTAAAGTGACACCTCCACAGGATACAACTTGCAAAGACATTTGCAAGTTGGTAAGAAAGTAAAAGCCTAGGGACAAACAGCAACTATTGCCCCTTCACATTCTCACAATCTACTCCACAGTCACTATATTTGTTGGTGTCAGACTCTATCGACGCTGCACTGATCTCTTTTTGTACATGACGGCAGCATAAATGAGCCTTTACTGGATAATCTTAACGCTTTATCACGATTGGAGTCCTAAGAGTGTCAGTAATCAGAGTGAGTCTCCACAGTATTACTTCATCAACAGAGGGACCAAAACCACAGAACAAAATGGATCCAACAAGAACAATTGTCCCACACAGCTTTGATGCACAATTTGAGCCATGTGTGTCTGGGGAAATCTCCCCACCACACTGCAAAGTCATCTTCCACACAGGGAGAAGAACCTGCAGAAACGAGTCTAACCTGAGTTGATAAATGATTCTCAACAATCTAAAGTTACAGCAGTGTCTTGTGAAGTGTAACTTTTCACCCCGGTGATGAATTTAAAGTTTAATTCCCATGTCAGGTACAAAGTGTTAGTCACAACGCACAAGTTTAAATGACACCTTCCACAGCGCTGGAGCATATCATCATGCACCGAGGATTGCAATGCACATAGTCTGACAGTCAGTGGGATTTCCATGTCACGATAAAACCATGGGCTGCCAGCTACAACAATAAAACATAAAATATAATACTTGGCCGATACAGAAAAACACTGTGAGTACTTGAGAACTTTGTAACCACTACAATCTCATTAAGATCGCATTACAATAATGTTGTTACATTACTAATGTTCTTTCAGTCTTTTAGTTACCGTCACTCGAGTCAAGAGCAGATACATTTCACTACAAGGTGCAAATGGAAGCAGCTTGAAGAAGCATTGCCAAATGCAGCAGCACAGGAGCATGCTGGGTTTCACTTTAATGAGTTAAAAGTGAAGCGTCGGGAGCAGAAGCCCTCAAGGGGGGTTCGGTATGTAAATAACATGTGAAACAGAAGAGCATTTCAATTATTTATAAAGAACATGGATAAAGTGGCCTGGTGGATTAACATGCAATTACAGAATAATCCTTGCCATGTTGACACAAACAAAACTCTTTGTTCGGCACAGTAAATATGAGTAAGCGTGCAGGGTGTGCCGGTGAGTATTGTTCTTATAGCTGCTGCCCCAGTGACCTGTTTAGTCACATGTGAGCTTTACTCATTCATTCAAACTCACTGAGTGAGTGACATCCCAGCAGCCACCTGATCAGGTATCTGCTTATCTGATCCAGTGTAGAAGGTGAGAGGGAACAGACAAGTAGTTGTTCTCTGTGCCATTCGCACATAATAACACACATACACACACACACACTTGCGACATAGGCCCAGACAATAGCTCTCCTCACCCCGTTACCGGAGTCTTTGTACCAGAGTGGGTTCCCTGTTTCTGTCAAAGACCACACAAAGACTGGTGCCTGGAGGAAACGGAGCGAGAGGAGGGTGATAAAAGGAGAGTGTGTGTGTGAGAGAGTGTACATGTGCCTGTGTGTGTGTTTTACGATTGCTGCGTTATCCCCTGCAAGTGCTGCTATTCCCACAGGGGTAATACGAGTGGCTCGATGGAGTCCCCAGCTGTCAGGATCTCGTGGCGCAACGGTAGCGCGTCTGACTCCAGATCAGAAGGTTGCGTGTTCAAATCACGTCGGGATCAACTCGTTTTAATATTCAGGAGCACCTCACTGCTGCTATTTGCTTCATATCAGTCCAAGCTAGTCTTATAAATAGACTTAAACAGTGGATTATCTGTGTATGACACAAAAATAAATGAAGGATAAAGACGAATGCCAGTCACATATGGGGGTTTTAGCAAAGATAACACACGGGCATGTTTCCCATGAATTAGCCTTGGGGAATGTCAAGCATTTGGAAATGATTCAAAAACGATAATAGAGTTTAACAAATTAAACCATAAGCAGCAACAGTTATACAGCGCAAATAAAATGTGACCTTGTCTCTTATCTTCATAAAATGGTATAAACAAGCCTTGTTGTGTAAACTGAAAAAGCGATAAATGCGATAAGTTTGCAGGCAGATGACAAATGAAGAGTCATGATGTCAGAGGATTTATAATCTAATCACCATTGAAGTGCGATTTAATCGGTGCAGTTAAACGAGGAGACGCATGAATGTAGAGATTGTAGGTTTTCTACATATTAAGATCAACATGGTGCGATCAAGACGTTTCTGTTCCGCACAAACAGAAAGCAGCAGGGTTCATCTGCATGCAGCAGTTGTGAGCAACAACACTCATGAGCCAGTATTCTATTCTACATTGTGATGAGCAGAGCAGTAAGTAGTAACAGGGACGTTACGGCCATAGTTTTTGATCGCTTGCACGTGCACAGTTGAGATTTCACTGAACAGCAGTTTCCGCAGTGGAAGAACCTGCAGCATCTGAACCTAAGGGGGTGCATCGGGTCAGGGGTGCGACCTGTAGAGCATGCTCATCGTT